ATGCAGGCAGGAAGTCTGAAGACAAGCAGAGCTAGGTGTTTGAGAGCAAGCACTGCCTTGCCCTTCCTGCTGCCTTCCAGCCGCCACGAAGGGGTCATGAAGAACAATGGGCACTTTACCCCACTTCACAAAGCACAGAGTGGGACTGAAATAATAACTCATAACTCTGAGTTCTCTATATTCAGCAAGAACACAAGGGAGAATGACAAGGATGGCTAAAGAGGTGGAACAGCTTCCACAGAAGGGGCAAAGAGATAAGGCATCTGCAACCTAAGGAAGGGACAACTGGAATGAAATGCAGGGAACAGCGTGCACTGCAAAATCTGCACTGAGCCACCAATTCCAGAGGCAGCAGACAGCCCGAGGAAGAACCACAACTCCCTTGCCCTCTTTGATGCTCTGTTGCCTGAGTGCTGGCTGCTATCAAGGACGAGAAGGAAAGAGCTCTGGCCCCACATTCAGATATTTTTGCAGATGATAAATAATGAGAGCATTCAGAATTTGTAAGAGCATTTCACGGAATGAGGAAGCCAGGCAACGGGGCCCTTCGTGAAGCAGCATAAAATGTTTAGACTCAGCATGGAAATTGCAAAACATGTGTGCAGCCCTAAATAAAATGTGAAGCAAGGAAGCGAGGCTGAAGAGCGCTGGTACAGCTGGAAGCTGTTGTTTTAGAGAACAGCACAAGGAGGGTGGCAGGGAAAGGGCACAACTCAACCTGATGATGTGCTTGGGAAGGAGAGGGAGCACAGAGAGAGGGTAACAGTCCCTGTGGAAGTGAGAAGGAAAGAAGGTAAATAGCTAAAACTGTGGGTCAGTAGGCTCAATAAGGTGCTGGGCCTGCCAAAAGGAATTTAGATTATAGGGATATTGCAGAACAAACAATGATGTCAGATGGCAACACAAAGGAAGCACTTCCAACGTTCTGTTTAAACACAGATTCAGAGGAAAATCCCCACTTTTTTTTTCTTTTAACTGGGAAAACGAGCTTTTATTTATTTATTTTTAAGTGGAGAGAGAAAAGAAAGTATTCATTTTACGGATATCCTCCATGTCTTGGCATATTTATGTATTCTGTTAAAATCTATTCCAAAATGAGTGGAAAAAATGATCCTCCCGGATGGCTGAACGTGCTACCGAAACCTACGGTTGAACTGGACGGCAAAACACGAATGCCATCGGGGGAATTTCCTCCGCATTTAGGACAGCACCTAATGCGGCACCGGAGCGGCGGCGCTCGGTGACACAGAGAGCCGTCAGCAGGGAAACACGAAAGGCATCCAGACGGCTGAGCTGCTAGAAGAGCCGCCGGGTTTCATTGCGAGGGCCCTCAGCATCAGCTCCGCAGTGGAGAAAACCTTTAATTTGCTGGGGGCGGGTTTGTTGGGGCGGCTCGGTTAGGGCCATGTTGTAGGCTACAGCTACCTCCTCCCCCCCAGGCGCTCCCGGCCCTGGCACCGCCTCCCCGTCGGGCAGGGCCGTGCCGGGGGAGGGACGAGCGGAACGGCGCTGCGGGCAGAGCGGTGCGGTGCGGTGCGGTGCGGAGCGGCAGGAGGCGGCGGGATGTTCAGCTGGTTGGGGAAGCAGGGCGGCGGGCGGGAGCGAGGAGTCGGCGGCAGCGACGTGGTGCAGACGGTGACCGGAGGGCTGCGGGATCTCTACCTCCGCAAGCTGCTACCGCTGGAGGAGCACTACCGCTTCCATGAGTTCCACTCGCCCGCCCTGGAGGAGGCTGACTTCGAGAACAAGCCCATGGTGCTGCTGGTGGGGCAGTACAGCACCGGCAAGACCACTTTCATCCGGTAGGTGGCGGACCCTGGCCCGAGCCCCGCAAGTGGGAGCCGCCCCGGCCGAGCCCCGCTCGCCTCCTGCGGGCTTTGCCGCCCAAGCAGGTGCTGGCGAGGAGCTGGGCGGCGTAAGATGTCCCGTGCTGGGGATGGGGCTGCTGCCGGGCGTGCTCGGTGTTCTGTGGTTCTTCTCCCAACTTCCTGGTTAAGGAGGTTCTCTCGATTTCACGTCGTGCTGGCAGTAACCTCGTTGGGTACTTCCTGTTAACTTTTCTCAGAACTGGTTTGCGTTAAAAGGCATCAGTCATCAACGACCACGTAACCTTATCTCCACCTTTTCTTTCTCCTAAATTCAAGATGTAGTTGGTACTTTCGTAGTGTTTTTGTATCTTTTCCGTTCTTGTTGTGAAGTTTGCGGGGATTTTAGGAAGCTGCAGAGTGCCTGCGTTTATCTTGGTGTGTTTGTCTCATGTTTCATTTTAGTATCTAAAGATGGGCTGTGAGAAAGGAGGATACAGGCTCTTTAGCGGGATCTGTTGTGATAGGACAAGTGGAAATGGTTTCAAAATAAAAGAGGAGAGATTCAGCTAGAATATAAGGAGGAAGTTTTTTACAATAAGGGTGTTGAGGCACTGGAACAGGTTGCCCAGAGATGTTGTGGATGCCCCATCCTTGAAGACGCTCGAGGTCAGACTGGATGGGGCTCTGAGCACTCTGATCTGGTGTGGGTGCCCCTGTTCATTGCAGGGGAGTTGAACTAAATGGCCTTTTAGGGTCCCTTCCAACTCGAACAATGCTGTGACTCTATAAAGATCGTTTAGAACTCTGCAGAAGATGCTGAGAGGTCTTCGGGCGAAGATTTAACCTTCTGTAAAGGATAGAAATATGTCTCTTTCAGTTCTAAAGGTTACTGCCTGTAACACTGTTTCTCTTTGCAGCGTATGGCTCCCTCCTTCCTGCTCTGCAGAGCAGAGTTTGCCTTTGCTCACCTGTGCTATTTCAGATGTTTGCAAAGGCATTTGTGTTCCCTTCCTGCTTGGCAGCTGCATGGGAGCTCTGGGATGAGTGTGGCTCTCTGATGGGTACTGAACTCCTGTGGACACACAGAGCAGGTTTGCATTAAAAATAGAAGTGGGGCTGTCACTAAAAGAAGGGAAACTCAGTTTCAGGATCCCCAATGCTAGCTGAAAGGAAGTCTGTGTTTGTGACTTAGGTTTTCCTAACATTTCTTTAGACACCCTGATTCATTTTCACTGTTGCTTGTGCTCACGTGATAGCTGTGTTGGTGGTCTGGGTGTGTTTCCAGGTAAGCATTTCCAGAACAGATTGCCCAGAGAGTTGGTGGATGCTCCATCCCTGGAGACGCTCAAGGTCAGGCTGAACTGGGCTCTGAGCACCTGATCTAGCTGTGTGTGTCCCTGTGTCCCTGTTCTTTGCAGAGGATATTGGCTAGATGGTCTTTAAAGGTTCCTTCCAATTCAGTGATTCTGTGATAAATCATAGAACACCCCAATTTTTTCTACATGTGTGATGAGGGCATGGATAACCTGGAGATAGAACAGGCCAGAATACTGTGCACCTGAACATGTGCCACCTGCCAGCTGAATTGCTGGGTCATTTCATAGAATTTTTTTCCCTCTCCTGTAGCACTTTGCCTTGGATGAGAATTCGCATTCTTCCTTTATGGGCATTCAGAATTTCTGTCCTTTACAGGTGCCCATGTTAAGTACTGGGATTAAGTCAGTATGATGGTCCTCAAGGTTGTTCACAAGTGCTTTTGGTGCCATTGCTTTGTAAGTAACATGTTACCACTTTAACAGTAAAATACAGAGCAATGGGGCTAACTGGTATTAACATACTGTCTGGATGAAGAAGGAAACTTCATTTCCAAACATTTTACCCTAATTTCCCACAGCAGTGTAGTCATCTCTGCTGGGGTAGGAGGTCTGGACATAGTTGAACCTTCTGGTAAATGTCAACTGAACTTGACTGACATAAAGGTTTCAAATCAAAATTTCAAATCAAAGGTTTTCTCATACTTCTTATTAAAATCTGTGACTGAATGGAAGAAGCAATTTCTTTTACTGTGTTGTGCCTTTCTTTTTCCCCACCTACCCCTTTCATCCCATCCCTATTCAGGTAAATCACAGTGTGGTTTCGTTCTTCACGGGATGCTGGAGATCTCAGGAATTGACCACTGAGACCCTGTCAGTGACAAAGCAGTTGTTAGTTCTCTGCAGGCTGACCTCAACACCAGCACATTCCCAGGGGGCAGATAAGCATTCATTACATCAGGGTTTGCCATGGAATAGATAACACCTGTAGATAGCAACTGGCTGCAGCAGGATAGAGAAACAATTTTCAATAGCAGCAATTTATAATGATAGTATAGAGATTATGTTACAGCGATTGATATTCAAAGTCCAGTTCAGAGGGTGATTTTTCATGGGAAAAATGCCATAACCTCTGAAGATTGTTATAATTCAGGGTTAGTTTTCTTCAGAAGGAAGTTAAGACCTCATCTCATTTTTCCTTTTATTGTTGCCAGTAGCCTTTTGGCAAGCAAGCGTTACTTTAAATCTTAACTAAAGCAACTTTTTGCTTCATCTTTCTTCATCTTATAATCAGAAGGACACGCTTGGTCTATTTCCATGTTTGCTATCACATTCATATGTGAATCCACAAATCTGTTCTGCTGGTGATTATTCATTTCAGTTTTAGTCATTGCGTTTACCCAGCACAGTGTAATCTGATTTGGAAATTATCGTGAGAACTGTACATTTTCATGGCTCAGACACATCCACCCAGTTCCTTCCACCAAATCTTCATGGAAAACACTGTGCAATGTGCAATGACCATGTATCCCAGGAGATGGAAAAACAATCACGGTCAGCCCCTCTTGTTTTTATCCTTGATGCTGCTGATATGCTTTGCACTAGGAACAATGTAGTGAAACCAGGAGGTAGAAGACTCCTGGTTTCACTGAGTAAGATGTATTATTATAACACCATTTTAGTCAGGTATCTGACAGTGCTGACAACTCAAACAGCAATACCCAGGCCCAAGTGGTAATGCTTGTCTGATTGTTTTTTTAATAGGGTGGGAGGATGTCTGAGTGCCAAGTGCTTATCTCTGTAAGCTACTTGGCACTGTACCTATGCAGCTTCTGGAATGCTCTCAACTTCCCATGACTGCTTCAGAGTGGCAAAAGGAGGGACAGGAGAAGAGAATGGTTGTGTACCAGAGACAGGGGTCGTCTATGCAAGTCTGTAGTCACTGAGCTTTTACTTTCCTTCCCACCATGCATTGAACTTCCAGGGTGATACATTTAACTTATTAACATCTTCTCTTTGAGATGTGTGAGAGACTGAGTGTTGGGTTTTTCTTTCTCACTTACTTTCTTGCTTTTTTTTTTTTTTTCTATTGCTTTCTTTCTCTTGCATTCTTCCATGCACTTACTGTGACTGTGATGAGGAAAACCAGAAGTGAATTCCTCAGCTTGCCAGCTGATGATCTTACTGTGCTCAAAGGTATTTATGCAGAGATGAAGATGGTAAACTTTCTTCTATTTACTTCAGCCAGAGCTGAATTCTGAGAAAGCTCCCTATCCTAGCAGTAGTATCTGGTGTGCAGTTCAGTGTATGGCAAGAATGGGCAGCATCATTTTTTTGTTGGAGTTGACAGGGAGAGGCCTTTATTTCTTTGTTATTCAAACAGAATGAAAGCAAAAAGGAGAATGCTTCTGAACTAAAGCAGGGGAGATTTAGATTAGATTTTGGGGAAATTTTTCACTCAGAGGGCAATGAGGTGCTGACACAGGCTGCTTAGGGAGCTGTAGGAGCCGGGAGGCATGCAAGTGCAGGTTGGCTGGGGCCCTGGACAGCCTCATCTGGTGGGTGGCAGCTCTGTCCACAGCAGGGGACCAGATGATCTTTAATGTCCCTTCCAACTCATTCTATGATTCCATGATTGTATGAATTCTTCTACTGCAGCAAACATTTCCTGCTGGTTTTATGTTCTTAAAAACAAAACAAAACAAAAAACAACTGTGGGGGATTTGTGGTATCATGTAGAATGGAGGAGAGCAGCCCTGTGAAAAGAGGCTCAGTTGGTCTTTCTATACATCACACTGCATCCTTGCCCACTGCTCATCTGTTCAACTAGCCTGTGTTTTTTTGTTAGCGTGGCTGAACTGAAGCGTGAAGACTTTAGATGATTATCAGCATCCGCCACTGTGAGTAATCATTGCTATCTCTGGAACCTTGTGAACTGGTTTCCCGGAGTTTGGCTATAGATCTGGCCAAGGGATGTAGACAAATGGTTATTAGAGCAGCAGAAAGGTTATAGCCCAGGTGAAAACAAAAGGAGAAGAGCAAGTTCCTCGAGTCAACAGGATGTCTGCTGTTTGATCCAGACTGTCTTTGGAGCGCTTGCTATTTTTAAGCATTCTTCCTGTGAATCTTTTTGAACTCCCTCTGGTGAAAATTCCTGAAGAGGGCATGTGGTCACGGATACTAAAAATCCAGGTAGTTTCCTGTGCTAAAATCACACGCGATACAAAGGCATTTGCAGCTTTTTAGCTTATAGAACGCTGCTCTTCCCTTTTGTGTGGCTGAGTGAAAGCAATATTTTCATAATGAGAGGAAGTGTGATATAGTTTGTACCGCCAGCACTCAAGATCTTGGGGGTTTATTTTAGGCTGTCCTGATTCTGGATGTGCATCTGTGAGCCAGCGCCTTAATGGAAAATACCTGCCCTGCAAAGTGCTTGCTGTCTGCTAAAGAGCTGTGCCAGGCATAGCACTGGCTGCTGGGTGGGACCCGTATTTAGAAGGAGCTCCTGCCTTCCTGCATTGTCACCACTTCAAGTCTGGTTTCTAAAGCAGCATCTTTGAAGTCAGCATGGAAGTATTGCAGCTCCATAGCACTTTGTTCATATTTGTTCTATGTCTCAAATACGCAGCTAATTTGAATTTACACTATTTTTTAAAGTACTGAGCTGAAAAAAATGCATGTTGAAAATCCTAAAAGGTGCATGATGCTGCCAACTCTTTGCAAAGTTTGCAAGTGTTGCGCATGCTGGCAACCTCATGAGCAAGATATTAGTCATGTAAAAGAAGACCACCACTGAAGGTTCATCATCAATGCCTGCCGGTTTCATGAGCTTTTCTGGTTGAGAGCAGTGATCCTATTAACATGGAGGTGTCCTAGCCTGCATATGGATCCCCTACACAGATGTAATAGAATCATCAAATCATTAAAGTTTTCAAGGATTCTTAAAGGCCATCTAGACCAAATCCCTTGCAATCAGCAGAGACACCTACATCTAGATCATGTTGCCCAGGGCCCGGTCCAACTTCTGTTGAGTGTTTCCAGGGATGGGGCATCCACCTCCTCTCTGGGCAACCTGTTCCAGTGCCTCAACACCCTTATTGTAAAAGACTTCTTTCTTATATCTCATCTGAATCTCCCCTCTTTTATTTTGAAACCATTTCGCCTTGTCCTATCACAACAGACCTGCTAAAGAGTCTGTCCCCTTCAAGATGTGGTTCCTTGTGATTCTGTGGGATCTGGGACTTCTTTTGTGTGCAATTGATTCAGTATGATGTTTTTCACTGCTGCTCCGGGAGCTTCTTGTCAAGTCTCGATTTGCTGTATCAGACCTGACCCACTGTCTACATGCAATCTGTGTCTGTGAGCAGATTGCTCACAAGGGGTGCAAGATGGTTTCTATCCAGCGTTGCTTGATCTCATGCCTCTAGTATGGTTGTTACCTTTAATCCTGAAGTTATACGTGTCTAACTTATTTAACAACAGTTTTCTAATATACAGACCAGAATAAAAGCCCTTTCTTCACTCCCAAATAAAAGTAGGTATATGTTTCCTAACTGTGTTGTCTCTACCTGTGTAAAGGTGAGTTGAAGTTAGTAAAAATCCTGTGTTGCGACAGAGTTCATTGAACGGTTAGATCTGTCAGCAAGCTGATGCTGCTCATGTTCTGTGTTTCAAACCACTCCCTTTCAGTACTAGAAACTCTTGTAAGGGTTGAAAACTTGGGCAAAAGAAAGTGATATCTTTTAGCGCAAGCTACAGTACTATGATCTCTGATAGAAATATCCATCTACTCATAAAAGAAACTGGAATTTGATCTTTTTAACTTTTCCTAGCTAATACGAACATTGAAATGAAGATAAAAATGCAATTTTATGGTTCTGTTGTGTTTACTAAATTTATGATTCTGTTGTGTATATCCTTAGGAATTTTCAAGGACATTGTAGTTATTGACTTTAGTCTTATTGCTCAGTCATTCATTCTGTTACTTTATATATTCTCCATCAATAGATACCTGCTGGAACAAGACTTCCCAGGCATGCGGATTGGTCCAGAACCTACCACGGATTCTTTCATTGCTGTGATGTATGGAGAATCAGAAGGAAGTGTTCCAGGAAATGCCCTGGTTGTTGATCCTAAGAAGCCATTCCGTAAGCTCAGCCGGTTTGGAAATGCTTTCCTAAACAGGTGAGATCTGATTGTTTGCTATCTTTGGATTTTAAGTCTCAATTTCTACTTAATTCTACTTTCAAGCATCAATATTGCTTGCCAAGTCTTTTTTGCTGTATTCGTTTTGAGCAGTATGAAATAAATGTTCAAATAGGAGCACTAGCTTAGAGCTGTCTTGGTTTTAAGACACTGTGCCAGCTGGAACTCAGGAATAGTTTGAACACAAATTCCTCTGCTCGATAAAACTAATAGATAAGTACTATTATTTAATACTACAGTTATAGTACTTATAATAGATGATAGACAAATGCTATTGTTTAAAAACTACCATCCAAAATACAGAAAGATCTACTTCCTTTGATACTGTCTTGTTCCTCTAAACTGATCACATACACTGGAGATTTTTCAGAAACTCTTTAAAGTTGTGAATTGTAGGGATATCTGTAAAAAGACCTGTGAGAAAGTGATTTATTTTGATGGCTGGAACAGATGAAGCTGGTTTTCAGGCACTGCAGTAGACTAGAGTAATAGCAATATGTTCTAGATGCTTGCTGTGTATTTACAAAAGTTGTTCGGGGGCTGTGAATGTTGCAATAGGTAGCTTAACTCACCATCTAAATATTTCCATTTGGAAGTTATTAATAACTTTGTCCGTAGTGTGTGAGTAATCACCATGTTTTCTTCCTGTGTTTGATGTGGTTTGACATGGAGGTCTACTTTTGTGAGCTAATTAATCTAAATTGGTTCTCTCTTAACAATAATCTTTCCTGTTTGGCTGATAAACACTGGCATATGTGTTAAAAGTTTATCATGTACAGTTTTATCTTTTGCTGTGCATATTCATAGAAGAAAGTTTATGGCTGCTCGTGGTCAGCTTGGCTATCAGTTTTCTGAGAGATAATATCAGCTGTGGGAAGCTGCAATCAGCTTCAATTTTAAATATTGTCTTTGGGATCCCTTTTCTGTGAGATGACTAGCTAAGTTCTGTCCTTCCTCATCATTGTGCACTGGGTTATCTATGAAAACAGCTGATATAATCCTACTGTGAATGGTGTTTTTCACCATAAATAAGTATTTACACTGAATGTTTAATAATGCTACATCTTTGTTTGAATGAAAGGGTTTTGTTTTTGTTTTTGTTGTTTTTTGTTTGTTTTTTTTTTGTAAACCATCCGTTTAGCTCGTGGTGTCAGGTTCTGAATCATATGCAAACGTAGGTTTTTTACTGGCTAAAGGGATGTACATTATCTAGCTAAATTATTTAAGTACTTTCGGTGACTGTGATATTGTTGTACTGCAATGCTGTAAGCAACCTTATCTTCCTCATCATTCACATTAGCTCCTTTGTCTTTGTTTTGCAGCTGAGATGTAGTTGCCTCTTTCCCCAGCTCCACCCTCAGTCTGCTGCTCTGATCGTATTGCTGGTTATTCAAAACTGGCATCTCATTTCTTTCCTACTTAGTTGAAAATGCCCTACACTTCATTATAGTATCTTCAGTAACCCCCACTGTTCTTACTTTGCTTTCTCATGGCAGCTTTTTATTTGACTGTCCAGTTTGTCTTATGTGGTAGAGTGCAAGCTTTGCAGAGGCTGGATTACACTGTGCAACTGTCAGTATAGTCTTCAACCACTGCCCCATAAGAAGATTAAACTCTTATGCAAATCTCTTAAAAGCAGTTCATGATGAAGGGAGGTAAAGTTTCTTGTTTTTTTTTAATCATGAGTTATTCCAGAAGCATCAGAATAATTTGAGTCTTACATGTGAGGTGTTCTGAACCTGAGGGAGATGTAACTCTCAGAGGCTGTGTGAGTTCTTATTTTTCATAATACCACCACTGAATTTGTGTCCCGTCACATACATAGGAGATTATTACTCTAAGCACATTGTCTGTAATTTAAACTTTCAGTTCTGATAGTATGGAAGCTTTTTCTCTTTAAATAGTATTTATATATATATATATATATATATATATATATATATGTATATATACATATATGTATATATGTATATGTATATATGTATATATATAATTATATTTTATATTTTATATAATATATTTTAAATAGTATCGTTTTAATAGTATTTCTCTTTTTAAGATAAATACTATTTATTTACATTCCTCTGCAAAAGCCATCCCAGAAGGTTGGTAAGGTAGAAGCAGTCGCCATTCAGCCACTGCCAGAGCAAATGAGGGCTGACTTGGCAGTAATTTAACCATATTGTCTGCGTGGCTTTCCATCTACTTTCTTTCTCTTTTGGCTATTTGAATTTAAGCAAAAATCAAAGAACATGAGTCGTCATTTCTTATATATGCCCATCTGGATCCTAGCAAAATGTTTGTTTTATACAGTGTGATGATTTTTGGTTTTCTGAATGTTACATGGATGGCCCATGTTTTCATCTCTTTGTTTTGTTTAGTTTAGTTTTGAAAGTGTGGTGACAAATATAGGAGTAAAGGGGTTCACTAAGGACTTCAAAAACTTTTTCCCCCTTTCCCCTTCTCTGCTTTTCGCCTTTCATTTTTGTTTAATATCATTTAAGTCTTCCTAAAAGCTAGTACATAAAAGAGAGTTCTCAAGGTACAATTTATATATAAGCTAGAGTTCTTTGGTAATATTTATTTCTCTCCACCTTCCTGCCAGATTCCTGTGTTCTCAGTTGCCTAACCAGGTGTTGAAGAGTATCAGCATCATTGACAGCCCAGGTATCCTCTCTGGAGAGAAACAGCGCATAAGCAGAGGTGAGTTGCAGGAGCTGAAAATAACTGAGCACACTTGCTACCGAAGATGGTCTTTTAATACTCGATTCTGCTTTGCTGCTTTGGAATCCAGTTTTCTTTATATTCCTCCTTCTTCATTTCTTAATTTAAGAGGAAGTAATGCTTGGCACTATTCAAGTATCTGCTGCCACTTCAATAACAGTATGGAAGTGAACGTGAAATATTCAGAAAATGGAAGCATCATTATTATCAGCCATTGAAAAAGTGAGTGAGTGAATGAGTGACAAAATTTAATGCTGTCAGGGATTGCCAAGGAAGCACCAGACTTGATGTGTGCATGGAATAAGGTTGTTTTGTTTGAGGGTCAATTTCTGAACAATATGATATGTACCTTAATGGCCTAATTGGCCTGCCCTTTGATGCAGTAGATTTTCACATAGGCAGTGCTTGGTCATAAGTTTAAGCCCTTCTTATCTATTTACAGGGTTTTAATTTGACTAGTTATATTTAATCAAGATGTTTTTCAATGTGTTAGGGATTTTCTCAAATACATAACTTGGGATAATTCTTCAATAAAAAATGTGATTCTGCTGGATGCTGTTTAAATTTAGCCAGCATGGTTGTATCATAAATGAGGTTTGGCAGTCAGCATTCCTGGTGTATCTGCACCTTGCTTTATGGAGCTATTACATATGCACTTATTGCATGCTGTTTTGTTTAGGCAACGTTGTGCTTGCTTGTGTTTGAAATATTTTGTAGTCAGATATGTTTCCTTTATATGACTTCCAAATTGCTTATGCAGATCTGGTACTAGTGGTTTTGTGGAGTGCAAATTTGACTTATCCTGTGATGCTGCACTGCATGGCCTGTCTGAACTGCTTCTAGAATGACTTCAACATATGCTAAATAAGCCTAGTTTAGCACATTTTGAAGTTTGAGTTGTTTAGATTTCCTTCTTAAATCAAGGAATACAAATAAAAGCAGATTCTACAGGATATTTTCTGTTGTCCTTAAATATGCCTCTATCAGACAAAATTCTGTTCCTAACTGAAGTAAGGCGACAGCTTGTGCTCTTTGCTGTTGGAACTGCCATTTCCTTTCTGAAGGAATTTGGTTACAAGACTTAACCATGGGTACTCTTTTATTTGCTTGCCAGGAAAGCTCTAAACGTACCTGGAGATTCTTTAGCAGAATTTCTTTTCTGACAGCTTCAGACTTTTGTATTTTGAAATTTTACAGGGTTTTAATTTTTGCTTGCTTGTTTCTTTTTTTTAGTCTTCATCATCTTTTTATTTCTTTTTAAGGTCGTTTTGCTAATGAAACTTGATGCTATTTTCTAAAGGATATATATATATATATATATATATATATATATATATATATTTATAAAATGAGACTTTTCATAATCCAACAATGGAATGTGACATGAAATAACACCTCTGAAGTATCATTATTAGTTGCTTTCTATCCTGTACATGATTGGTGCTTATTCACATCTGAGTTTTTCAGTTAGGTTTCTAGAGGAGTAATTATAGAATCGTTTCAGTTGGAAGAGACTTTTAAAGGCCATCTAGCCATCCTCCCCTGCAATGAACAAGGACACCTACAGCTAGATCAGTGTGTTCAGAGCCCCTCCAGCCTCACCTTGAGTGTCTCCAAGGAAGGAACACCCAGGAAGTTTAGCTTATTTTTTTTCTGGCTGTGTTTTAGCATGTTTGATGGAAGAGTAAAAACCATTCTTAGGTTACAGGACCTCAACTTCACTCTTTTCATCAACAAGCACATATCAACTTTTAATTTCAAAATACAGAAAAAAGTGAAGGGACTGCAGAAATATGGGTGGTGCATTGCTTTCCAGCTTGTTATATTTATAGCCCTGGAAAGATGACAAAGTGGCCAGGGATGAATTGCTTTTTGAAAAGCTGATTGCATTCTGAAGGATCAAAAATGTGCAGTGGGGACAATATTCAAAGCTGTGTTTTTTTTTCTAATGCACCTTTCCTGCTCCCGTTGTCAGAAGGAATATTTGCCCGAAGCTTCCTGCCTGTCAGTTCACTGTCTGTGTAAGTGACTCGATGAGAAAGTGCAGATGTGTGCTGGCATTGTCCCATCAGACAATGGCTGTCCCTGTGCTGCTGCCGCCCCGTGAGTGCGCGAGGAGGTTCTGCAGCATCACTGGGGACAAAAGCTGATTTCAGACACAAACGTGGTACAGTCTGCAATATTTGGAAGGAACAATGAGTGTAAGGAAAGGAGAAAGATGAAGCAACGGCTGCCAGGGTGTGGGGAGGAACTGCTTTGAGAAAGGGAGGAGAATTTGATTCATGGCTGCTACAATGGTTGTCCTCAGCAGGATTAAAGTAATTACTCAGAAAATGTGATGGCTTTTCCTCTTGTAGTGTTCCGGGACCACGCCTTGATGATTTTACTGCAAATGCCATTGAATGCATGGTGACAGAAAAGGAAACGTACATTTTTCTATCTGGGAAGCTAACTGGTACCAAAACCTAAGGCAAAAGTTTAAAGAAGCATGGGGAAAGAGCTCATCACAAAATGCAGGACATTGCTTACCTTGCATGTTTTAGAAACAGAATTATTAGATACTCATAATTTTCTCAGTTCTGTGTTGTTTCTGAAAATGTAGTTGGATATTAGGAAAGGTGATGCAAAGAACTGTGTCAAGCTTTCCCTGCAGTGATGCACTGTAATCCTTGGGATCTTGCTGCCAACAGGAACGCAGGTTTTCATTGGCATAACTGGAAACTCACTCCAGGACAGAGTTAACAAAAGAAAAAAAAAAAGAAATTGCATTTTTTGTGTGGGACTAAGCTGCGTTTGAAATACTGGGCAAGTTTATGTGCATGCCTGTCTCATAACAAGAAAAGAGCAGTAGACTTTTTTCTGGCAAGAGCTGTTCCTATCCAGGTCCAGAATTTGTGTGTTTGCAGGCTTATTTTTATGGCAATTGCTCCAACACTCTGCCTACCCCAGCTTCATGAAGTAAGTGGATATTTTCTCCAAACATGAAGGCTCTTCACTGCAGCATTCATCCATGAGTTACCTGTGTGCTGCTGCTGCAGTAACACCAGCCCCAGGGCTGGAAGAACTGGATGCTCTGCCTGTCCCTGTTGGCAGAGGTTGGGTGCCACCCATTAGATTCTCCCTGATTGTTTCCTGAATTGGAGAAACTCTGGGAGATGGTGTTAGGGCAATCCAGAAATCATTTACTTTGGTCTCCAAAGGAGAAGTCTATCATTCGTCTTAATCTTTGTTGATGACTGGCACAGCAAATTGACCCCACTTGTACTGCATGATTGCATAGCTATGGGCCTCGTGACTGTTGCGCGTAGGGCTGGTACTTTGCCCTGGGCCAGTAATACACAAGAGTTACATGTTCATTGCTCTCATCAGTGTTTGCAGAGCTGGTCAGCTCGCACCATATATCTCCCAACTTTTTCATCTCATCCACATAATTCTGTTTTGTTCTCTGTGTCCTTGCTGAACATGTCATGGTCACCTTATCCTGGTGCCTCTGCTGGAGGCACTGGCTCCATCCCACCTGATGCTCAGGATGAGCTGAAGTGTTCTGCAGCGCAGCTCCCTTCCATCCCTTAGCTGGATATGAGGGTGACTTGTGGCTTTACAATATGCACTTGCAAGTAGATGTAACTTCTGAGATACCCTCAGTCTGGATATAGTAGTTGACAGTAGTCTTTGGGACAAACTTTTGAAGAAGTAGCAACAATAGAGCAGCAAAAGGCTGAGAAGCATCTACACTTCTTTCTGAGAGGAAGTGCTGGGCTGGAATGTCAGTTCCTGGTCAGAGTTTGCTGTTCCTTACTCAAACAAGATGAGTCACATGCATACCCAGCCCAGTGCCATATCATCTGTGGTGAGAGCAGATAGAATTTGTCACTTCCAAATTAAAGAGTTCCTGAATGCTTTTTGATGTCTGCATTAAGCTTTCATCTGCATTTATAAAAGCATTCAGACAGGCGCTACAAGCTGTCTTTCCTTCAGAACATCAGTTTCAGATGGTCAGAAAGGTCACTACTGATTTGTGTTCTGTAACCTGTCACATCCTCAAAGCCATCAGCACATCACTTGTAAGTTGGATTTCAGAGTTTGCTGTGGCAGAAATAACAGCAAGTGTTGCAATGTAAAGCGATAGGAGCTTGGAAATGGTTTTTAAATCCAAAAATTTTTGATTGTTGACTTAGGCTGAAGTGCTGCATTAGCACTTGTTAGTACAGATAGACGGTGCCTCCAGAGTGGCTGGCATTAACAGTGAGAGGAGATCCTGTGATAAGAGCCCCACTAAGCTGCTCAACTCACTCCATGATGAAATCAGAACCTCTGGAAGGAGGCAAACGTGAGTGTATGCTGGTAATTAACAGCAGCATGGAAGATTGTAGTGTGGGCGATGGATGGAAAGGCTGAGGAAGATCAGAAGGGCAGCAGTATTAACAAAAGGTGGTAACAGTGAAATCTGTCTAAAGAAATGTAGGATACAGTTGTTTTGACCTCACTGTCAATTCTTTCCTAGTTGGTCCACCTCCTCTTTTTTTCCTTATTCTACACCCTACCCTACATTCTCTTTGAGCAGGAAAACTGTAATAGTGTATTCTCTCCTCAGGCTATGACTTCTGCCAAGTCCTCCAGTGGTTTGCTGAGAGGGTTGACCGCATCATTCTCCTTTTTGATGCCCATAAGCTGGATATATCTGATGAGTTTTCAGAGGCCATAAAAGCATTCCGGGGCCAGGATGACAAGATTAGGGTCGTGCTTAATAAGGCTGACCAGGTGGACACACAGCAGCTGATGAGGGTCTACGGAGCACTCATGTGGTCCCTAGGAAAGGTGATCAACACTCCAGAGGTGCTGCGGGTCTACATTGGCTCCTTCTGGGCCCAACCTCTCCGAAACACAGAGAATCGAAGGCTGTTTGAAGCAGAGGCACAGGATCTTTTCCAGGATATCCAGAGTCTCCCTCAGAAGGCTGCCGTGCGGAAGCTCAACGATCTCATTAAGAGAGCAAGACTTGCAAAGGTAAAGATGTTAGCTAAATTAACTGAGGATTTTTTTTTTCAGTATACCCTTTCTCATCCTTCCCAGTCTTTCTCTACCCAGTAAAGAATCAATAAATTGATTGAATGGTCTGTTTTTTCAAGAAAGAAGATGCAGAAGTAAATAGGAGGAAATAAGGACTTGTATTGGGAAGCCTCCCTAACTTTAAAGCTGATCATTACAATCAGATCATTTCTAGGCATTTCTATGAACATAAAATAAAAATAATAAAGGTGAATTCAAAACACAGCGCCTATGGGGCACGCATATCAGCTCAAGAAGGAGAATAAGCTATATATTTTTAGGATAGCAGCAGTGTAATTCTTCCGGTGTCATCTTTCTGCCTTGCGCTCTGAACTTTGATTATTTAAATTATTTAATTATTGATTCAAACATCTTTGCAGCATTGCATGTTATTTTGGACTCTATTTCCATACGACTCTGTTCTTAAGCCCTTCTTAAACACGTTCAGTAACCCAAAACAAGTGCAAACTGTTAATTTCCTGTCAAATTTGGGTATTAGACAATTTTTTTTTTTTTTTTTTTTTTTTAAAGTCCTGTGACTCACTCACTTTCCCATTCTGATGAGAATTCTTCTTATCTTTAAGAAACATACATGCCTGTTGGCACACACCAGCAAAACTGTTACTGCTTGTCAACTGCAGACATAATATTTATTAAAAAAAAAAAAAAATTCAGAAAAGTATTTTAGGCATAAGATCCGTAATACTGCCTAATATTATTTATAAGTTGTCGTGGAAATATCCCTGCTTAATCGATTGTCATTCTAGAGAATATTCACGTCTCCTCTACTAAAAAATGCCATTGTTTTATGTAAAAGCCATTACTTCTTTATGCTGCTTTTTTTTCCTATTCTGTAGGAACTTGAGTATATCTGCAATTAAAATAAATGTATTCCTTTTAGATAGAAAGTGGTGTTGGATGCACATCATCTACACAATCTATTTTTGCATAGCTGTTGTTTTGTTAAGCCAAATATGCCTTTAAGTTTGAATTTAAGACATGCAAACAAAAACTGGTTACGCTATTTTATTTTATAAGCAAATATTTTTTTTTTCCAGATTCTAGTAGGATTCTAAATGAATGTAGTAAAAGAATGGAACCATCCTTTTCCCTGCATAAGTTATGTGCAAGGGTTATACAGAATACTGTAAAACATGTTCTGCTGTGGTTTGGTAGGCGTTAATTATACTCACTGCCATATAGGCATCCTCATGTTTTTCTACTGATGCTTTTTTGTAGTAGCCTATCTTCCCCCACTATTGTCCTGGACCATATTGCTCACTGCCTGGCCACACAGATTGTTCTATTGGTGAAAGGTGATGGGAGGGCAGCAAGTGGAAGAAATGTATCACTTGGGGAAGAGTGGATGGAGGATCAGTGTGTGGGATGGATGCTGGTTTATCTTGATCCCAGCAGATCGGAAACTCAAAGAATTCTGCAAGTATCCAAGTGGTTTAGGACTTGTTATCCTAAATCAATGTCTTTACTTATATGATAGAATCGTTTTACTTTTCTTCCTGACACTTTGCACGGCAACCAAGGCATGCTATTACTATAGCATACTGACTGCTCTGTCATCCGTTTGTGGCTACATATATAGACTGTATGTGCTCGCTTTTCTCTGAGTAAATAGGTAGTAATACAGTGTCACTTCAATTAGATAGGCAAGCCACTTAACGTACTGGGGTTACTCCAACCATTACCAATTGCTTCTCACAATAATTGGCAAGACAAGTAAATAGTGTTACAGCTCTCCACTGATGACATGGATGGACCATCCAGCTGGTGCTGTCTGTACAATCCATGAATGTAGCGTCAGAATAATATCTCTATAAAGTGCTGTGCAATACTCCTTCTTAAACTGCACTCAATTTTCTTTTCCTCAAGTGTACATCTTTTTTTAAAAGCAGTTGATTTCATTTTTCCCTTAAATGGAATGCTTACAGCAGCAAAATCTATTTGACAGCTCTTTCTCTAATTGTGAGGTTCCACAAACAACTGTTGATAATGTTGCCCTTGAGATATTTTAGGGAGTATATTCTTTGTTCTTACTTTTGTGACCTGGGTGAAGAACACTAATGTTGTTAAGCTTAGATAAGCAGTAGTATTGATTTCAACTTTGCTTCTTCTTAGGTACATGCTTATATCATCAGCTATCTGAAAAAAGAAATGCCCTCTATGTTTGGAAAAGAGAACAAGAAGAAGGAGCTGATCAGCAGGTTACCTGAGATCTATAGCCAACTGCAAAGAGAATATCATATCTCAGCAGGGGACTTCCCTGAAGTCAGGAAAATGCAGGTAAAATGATAGTTTGCACTTACTGAAATCATATTAATTTTCCAACAAGATTGCCAAATTAAAGAAGATAGGACAGAGTGTCTCAGCACGATAGTTTGGAGCCTTCAGGCAAAAAGCAAAGGAGTAACAGAAATGGCAATCAGTTACTCATATTAGAATGACATGGAAGCAGCACAAAATGAAAATGACTGATAATTTCCTTATCGTGTCCATTTGTAGATACAAGACTGTAGAAATTGCTTTAAGGAATGAGAACTGACCTTTTAGCCAATATTTTGTCTGTTGTGGCAGAAAATACTAAACATTTCTGAAGATGCTGCAGATAAATTTGGGGTGTCCTAAATATGGGTATTCTACTGCTTTTGTATTGCTAACAGATATTTGGAAGATATAACAGATAGGGGAAGATACCTGTAGTCACACATTATTCATGTTCACCTTCTTCTGTTCTTGCACTTACTGATACTGTTTGCCAGTAACAAAGGAATTGTATTATGTGAAAAGCGTGCCTTAAAAGCTTTTCTTTTTTTCCCCTCTCCTTTTGAGATTGTATAATTATGTGAATAAGAAAGATAGAAGTTCTTAGTTTATACTTGTATTGTTAATTTTTAAGTATGTACTCTTTTTTTTTTTTTTTTTTCTTTAACTCTGCATAGACTTTTGGCCACTTCCTTTAGAGAAGGACAGCTGTTGTGTTATCAGTGCTTTTCCATTTATTATCCAAACTTCAGTTCACAATCCATTGATCTCAGATCATTGACATCTTATATGATATTTTAATTAGAAGATAACTAATCTTCCAAGCTGATGAACTTGAGATGAGGAGTTAGTCACAGCTGTGATGACGAATGTTTTTCAGATGGGCATTTATATAGAACTCCCAATTTATGTGGGATATTTAAACACTAAACATATAGAGTGATGGCTGATTATTTTAATCTGTCTATAGGGATGTGCAAGTTTCTTCCATGAATTAAAAGATTTAACTTAGGAATCAATTGTGTGAGACAGTAACCTGTAGATTTAGCACAAGATTTTCTCAGGCAAGATTGCTGAGAAAGGATTTAATGATGTTAGGTTTTAGAGGGAGTTTTGCAAGGGACAAGTTGAGCTTTTCTCTTCTTCCCTTTGCCACTTTTGTTCATGATAGGAAATAAGAAATATTACTTCTCAGTTGGGGTACTGAAAGAATTTGCACACAACTTTATCATATTAATAGTGTATATCACTAAATTTCAGCAGCAGATGGCAGCAAATGTATACGTGAAAGACCATGTCTGTACTGAGGAAAAAACTGTGAGAAAATAGATAGCAGATTTGACCTTTGCTTTCTAAGATGTATCGTACATAATAAATCTAAACTGCTCAGTTGCCACAAGTCAGGTGACTGTGCATAAATATTCACCTGGTTATGCATAAAATTCTGCTTATGATTGTGCATAAAATTCATCTGATTTCAACCTGATCATTGTTGGTTGGAAATTTTTCCTTTGAGAAATCCCAACTTCTTTGTGCACAGGTGAAGTAACTTCTCTGTGCTTCAGGTTTCTATGTTTATGTAGATGTGTAGATGAGTAGAGGAGTAGATGTGTAGAGGAGTAGCTTTAACATCATCTGTTTAAGCAGTTTAATGCCATTCTGGTTTGGTTAGTTTTTTTTAGTGTTGTGGGTTTTTCTGTGTGTGTTTGTGTATAGGTATGTTTCACCAAATCACAGAATGGCCCAGATTGGAAGTGACCTCAAGGATCACGAATCTCCAAACCCCCTGCCACAGGCAGGGCCACCAACTTCCCATTTTATACTAGACCAGGTTTCCAATGTACCTCTCTTTCTGGATAGTCTTCTGCATGTAGAAAAATGAAAAATATATTTTTAAATTTTTCTACGGTCTGACATAGGACTTGCTTGGACTTGTGTTGAAATAGGGCATCTCACCCAGTTAAAAATCTCACTGGGGTTAGTAGGAGTTTATGTAGAAGATGGAAACTCAGCAGGAGGAACGAAATGACTTCATGACTTATGGCAGCTCTTTAAAAAAAACTGCTGCTGTTAACTCAACTCAACCTAACTTTTCTTTATCGATAAAGGATATTGCTTCATGACCTACCCACAAAAAAGAAGTTTAATCTATAAAATCAGAGCAGTCCTGCAAACTCCTGGATTTATTTTTAACCTTAAGCACTTGCAGTAGGGCTAGGAGGACTAAGGCCCTACATACATACTTACAAGGGAGTATGCAAGTAGGGCTTTAGCCCTGCATACTCCCTTGGAAGTATGCTAGTAGAGAAGAAAATCATCAAATGAAAAGTTGTTAGGTAACATTGTCAAATGCTCGTTTCTTAAGCACTGCCATTTTGAAAATCAGGTTGTAAATGCAGTGTTTGCTTTGCTTCTCTTTCAAGACAAATTCCAGTTTCAGTTATGGAAACTACTTCAAAAAGTTACAAGTTATTTTAACTTGAAATCCATTCCCTACATTTTCATTGTATCGAAAGCTTTTCTAACTACTGTCACCAAAACCTTTTTTATATCATTGACAGGAGCAATTGGAGATGTGTGACTTCACTAAATTTCACTCTTTGAAACCAAAGCTAATTGAAGCTGTGGATAACATGCTGGCCAACAAGATTGCCTCCCTGATGAGCCTGATCACCCAGGAAGAGAGCAATATGCCCACAGAGATGGTACATGGTGGGGCATTTGATGGCACCATGGCAGGACCTTTTGGCCAGGGATATGGAGAAGGTGCAAAGGAAGGAGCTGATGAAGATGAGTGGGTTGTTGCTAAAGATAAACCTGCTTATGATGAGATTTTCTACACTCTATCACCAATCAATGGCAAAATATCTGGGATCAATGCAAAGAAAGAGATGGTGACTTCCAAACTGCCCAACAGCGTTTTGGGTAAGATCTGGAAGCTTGCAGACTGTGATGGTGATGGAATGTTGGATGAGGAGGAGTTTGCATTAGCAAAACATCTCATCAAGATTAAACTGGATGGATATGAACTGCCTGGCACGCTACCTCCCCACCTGGTGCCACCATCTCACAGGAAACCATTGCAGACAGCAGAGTGAAAAATACTAGGGGAAGGATGAGGATTTTGGATATATTTCAACAAAGGTTTTGAAACTACCAATGTTTTAAATTAGGCTTAGATATTTAAACCCTCATAACACATTTCATGCACATTACTGAAATCAGAAGCAGGGAAATGTTTGTGTATTAGTCCCTGCTGACCATCACTGAGAAATGCTTATCCACAAGTGCCTTGTATAAATCTATCATAATGTGTGATGGTAAGGTGATGCTGCTTCCATATCTTGCTGCCTCTACAACCATAAAGCAGTGAAAAAAATCCCATTTATTGAATAGCTGACCTTCACCAAATGTAAACACTTAAGCAACCACAAGTTTCCCCAAACTATTTATTTTAGTTAGTGCAAGGAAGCTCTAAATGTTACATTCACCTGCCCATACAAACATTTTCTATGCTAAAAGCATACTTCAGATGTTGAATGTTAGCATCTTTTTTGATATATCTTATTTGAATTGGGAGTACAGTAAAAGAGTAGTTGTGGCAGGAGTCTTTTAAGAAGTGCTCAGAATATGACCAGGCTTGTTTATGAGCAGACTGGTTTTAAAACTTCAGTACTTAGAGCTATAAAGTACAAAATATATTTCAATCTGTCATCACTGTGTCTTATCTGAATATCTGCTTCTTCAGATTTGTACAGCACTATATACTCAGTATTATTGTTGAAAGAACAGAATCTCCTTTCTTCTTTGCCTTCAGAGTGTCTTTTGAGGTTTCAGTTTAGCTGCACTACAGACAAATTCCTGAATGTTTCAAAGTGAGAGCAGAATGCTTTCATAAGTTTGAAAAAACATAAACTGGTTTTCATTGAAATAAAGCTTCAGATTCTGTTCAGAAAGAAAAGGTGCATCATTCAAAGTCAGCATCTTCAAAGTACCTTGAATTGTCTCAGAAGATTTTCATGGGTATTTAGTTCCTATTTACAGGTAATGATACAGATATCTGTATATATTATTTTATATGCTTTTTTTATTTTTTTAGGGAAGTTTTTCTCTTTATCTTTTGCCAACACATAGCTGACAACCACCAAAGAGAGACTGGATTGATATGGTGGCAGATTTGAGAGATGGAGCCATTAACAGGGATCTTTACATTAATTGAAATAAAGTTATAGACTGTCCTCTCCAAATATTATTCCTTTATTGTAAACAATCCACAAAAGGAATAGATGCTTAGTAAACATTCATTTTTCTAACAACGCAATCAAAATGTTGAACATACTGATTTTTATCACTACTTTAAAAGAAGTTAAGTTTCTGGCCCTGTGAACTTTAGTCTTTTGGGGAGGGCCAGTTCTTTTTTGAAGTCACACTTAGCAGTCAGGTTAGGTCTATGACTGGGAGCAAGAACTGACTTGTACTCCACCATCTGTAGTATGAAATGCCTGCATATCTAAGGTACTGTAACTTCAAGCACTTTTTCTTTGAGTCTCAGTAAGGGTTAGCAATAGTGCCTTCTGAGGTAGAACAAGCCAAAAAGTGTTTTAGCATCCTTGCAGCAGTATTGGGGAGGAAATTAGTTTGAGTGTTGTGTCCAAGTTAAGACTTCCGTTTGATCTGTAGGTGATTTAAGAAAAGCCTCAGCTTTTTCTTTAAATCATACATTTGTAAATTGTCAGTCAGGTTTCATACTTTGAATCTTTCCAGACCTCCTATCTTCCTGCATTTTTTCTATAATGATGTGAAACTACCGTGAAATTTGTGACTGCACTACTATGTGAAAAAAATAAAGCTATTTTTAGTGATGGAAAATCACCTTTATCTTGCCAGGCATCCAGCCCTGTGTCAAAGATATTCTGGCATAGTTGATCATTCTTGTGGACTTGCTCTCTTTCATATGTCTTAGTTTTGTTCTCTTATCATTCAACTATACCATCTTTATTTCTGTTAGACCTATGTTAGAAGCCAAGATAGCCTTTGTGCATCTCCATTCTCTTCCATATAGCTGTGAAATTTAACTGTGAACCTACTGTATTTCTGCAGAGTAACCCAACCCATTTTCTTTCTAACTTATTTTTGATTGAACACAAGGTATCATATAGACATTGCAAGGGTGTTAAAAGTCAGGCTGCACCAGTAGTGATGTGTGTAGTGTCTGTAGTCAGTGACAAATTTGTGCAATAATGACTAAATAGATCAGCATTGCAAGGACGGTTACCAAGAAAAATAAAGAAAGCTTGCATATTGTGACCACTGTAGAGTGTGAAAAACTGAAGAAAGTTATTGATCTTCCAACTCTGTCTTGCCTCGCTCTTCTGCTGAACAGGATTCCAGGGTGGACCTGTGAATTCTCACTACATGTAGCTTCCAATGCATTAGAGTGGTGTTGATCCCATGCTAGTAGAAATATCCTCCTGCAGTGAAGGGAGAGGGGCAAAATAGTTTCTCAGTGATTTATTTATTTTTTCTAGTTTTATTGGTAGTAAAATGGACAACACAGGCTTTTATTCAGGCTCCATGAGAATGTGCTAATTTGGACTAGAGGAGACAAATTGAAATGTGTCATTTTGATAAGTTAAAATACTTTGCTTAGATACAGTTGAAATGGTTGGCTCTTTTCCTGCAAGACTTGAAGGGGAAGGGGAATGAACGAAGCATATATAATGAGGTGGATTTGCTCTGTTGATCTGGAGGAATAAAAGCATGCAGAGCTATGCACATAAATATATATGCAGATATGTGGCGCCATGCACTGGCGTGTCTTAACAGAGGTCATACTTAGTTGATAGAAATTCAAGTACATTTCACTTGGACTTTAAACTGCAATTTCTTGCATAGCTAAACCAATCTGTGCTGTTGCTCAGGGGATGTAATCTGGATAGTGCTCTGCTGAGTTAGTGAGCCAGTGTGTGGAGTATGAGAAGAGAGGAGGGGAACAGGATTGCTTTCACATGAAATTGTGCTCTAGATAGTTACTGGGAGCATCAATATTAGATCACCTTTGTTGTTCGGTTGATGTTGTTATTAATCTCTTCTCAAGAAAGAACAAGGTCCTGGCTTTGTGGGTCATTTTATGCTTAGGATTTTGATTACGTTTTCTGTGAGATCATTCAAAACTGCCAAGAATTCATCCTGTGAAATCAGTGCTTATTGGTGTATCCTGCTCCTGTAAGTGCAAGTAGAGAGTGCTTCTTTTTAATTCTTCTCCGACTGTTCTGCTACAGCTGTAATTCCCAACCATAATTCTGTTCCCATAGAAGTCAGTTAGATTTTTGTTGTAGACTGGAAGAGAAAATGTGGGATAACTGTTCAAAGGTTACAGGGCCTACACTACAGGACAACAAAAGACTTTTAAAACTGTGAAAATTTGAAATGATGAGTTTGCAAAGATCTTCAGATAGGGGTGAGGTCCCAGTTGTTAGTTAGGAATGGTATGGATAAAAGCAGCAGTATCTATCTGCTCCCTGACTTGAAACATCATTCATCTACAATACTTGAAATGTACCCTCTTTCTTCTCACTTCCTTCCATTCACAATATGCACTCAGTTTGGTGGAATTCAAAGAAAGAATTTGAAATATATTAGGTAAGTATAACTTAATATAACTTAACATGGAGAAAATGAACATGAACTTTTTCTACTTCACGTGCTTACCTTTTCTAATACATTTGTTAAATATCGTGTTTTCCCTTCAAAGGCACTCGTTTATTTTTGAGGGAGTTTGACCTGTGTACAGAGCATTTCACTGTGTCTAGTTAGGTAAACCAAGCTCATAGTTATTGCACTTTTATTATACAATAAATTCCTTGCAGATATTGTAATATATTTTAATATGCTTTGTAATCATTTTTAGGAAATGATAAAGAATGCTGATTTAATAAACTAATATTGAACTACCTGACATTTTTGTTTCTACTTCTCTTTCTGAAAGATAACCTTTCAGTAGCCAGATTTTTTGGTATTCTTCTACTTAAGGCTCATAGGCATAGTAGCTATTTGGCAAGCTGTTTCTCACCTCAGTTTATGTTTCTACAATAGGTTGTGGTTATTCCTCTTCTGCGTCCTTGTACTTGTTGCTGAAAATACTATCTACATCAAGGCTTGGTTCCAGAATCTAAATTTATATTTAAAAGGAAGAAGAAAAAAACAATGCTCCAGCACATATCACTAATTAGCTTTTTATAGAAGAATATAATTTTGAAGTTTCTCAGTGTCTAATCATGGAATTTTTTTAAAGTCCAAGGATGGAAGATTAATCAACATAGAGGTAACTTCCTGTGCAGAATGAAAGCTCGAAACCTGAGATGGGGGAGGAGTTTTGACTTAAGTGGGGTACTCACCTTGAAAATAACAATAGAAGGAATTCTAGTGAAACAAAAGTATTTGTTAATATATTTTTCCAAAAAAATCCAAGGACATTTTCCATGCTGTGCTACCTACTGCTTATAAATGGTTAAGTATATCAATAGAACATTAATGTTGTTAAATAAATTCCACCTGCTTCTCTCCTTCCCCCTATATATATATATAATTGATTTGAAGCATCTCCAAAGATGAGATCTATGCCAGCAGGATACTATGGTTCAGCTACTGCTCCTATTACTATCAAATCTAAGTTGCTGTGGAGTTAGAGTTTTGTGGGTGGCAATATTAGCATTGGCAAGCTGTGCTGTTATGCTTGTGGTGATCACGCCATATGTCATATGGAAGAATGTTTAATATGCAAACAGTATGTTATGTATTTCTTGAGGTTGCAGTGTTGTTCAATTGCAGTGGTTTGTTTTAGCTGTTCCTTTTTGAAAGTCAGAAATAGTTTGGAGAACATAATCTTTAATGGAGTTTAGAGATGGCTTCTTTCAGTTTGTTTTTTGGGGGGGAAGATAGTATGGTACTTTTCATAGTTCATGTACAAAACATTTCAAACTGTAAAATACACAGCACGCTTCAAGTTTAGCTATTCTCCTCTAATCCACTCTATATTTGGGCAATAAGAAAAGTGGGCATCTATGCTATCACCAGTTCAATGGTAAGTTTTGCAGAAGATGATAGTTCTAATATTTGGCACCCTTTATGTGTCAAATATTTCTTTCTGCCTACCATACTATTTAATTTCTCTTTTTTTTCTTTTTTTTTTTCCTTTTTTTTTAAAGTTCCTACTTCTGATGTATTTGTTAAGGGCTTTAGCATAGATGCTATTCTGAGTTTCTCTCATCCAAGGCTAGAGCAGGGATGCTCTTATCCTGCAGCAAGTAACAACTGCGAGCCCAGGTAACCTTCCAAAAATCTTGGCCTATGAACTAAACTGCTTAATTTATGCAGTAAATCCTTGGAAAAAAGAGTTGGATGCTTTGCCCTGCAAACAGGGTTTGCAGGTAGTCCATTGTTTGATATATGTTGTGGGTAAATGTATTTGTTCTGGAAAAAGCTTTCTCCCTTTGCTCAGGATTAATGGCAATCAGCATCTAGAAATAAGTGCCGAAGCCCAGCAAACACCTGCAATGATAAAAAAAAAAAACAACACATCCAGGAAGAGATGCATGTGTTTGTCAGTTTTATTTAGCTTTCTGAGGGCAAGATGCCATTTCCCATGGAAATCATGATATTCTGAGATGAGCTCATCTCCCTTTCCCTACAAGACTGCATATTACCCCAGATTTCTACCTGGTGATAGAATGTGGACACTCAGCTACTTTTGGTCTGGTCTCAAAAATACTAGAAACTGTGTAATGCCAGGTCTAAGCAGTTATCCTGCCTATTCTTTTCTTGGAGGTGGAACTTGTCTTATTCTTTCCAAGGTGTTGCTAGCTTGGCATTCTATATGCCTTTTCAGTCTGGAGCTCTGAATGCTTCACTGTAGCAAAATCAGCTGATTTTGCAGTGCTGGAAATAAACGAACTAGCTACACAAACTGTTACGATACAGAAGCACTGGATGGTACCTTTCTGTCACCAGATAATATATTTCAGAGATTCAGCGCTATGAGATTCTATGATTATTATTTTAGTTAAATATTTTAACCAAGGAACTGTTGAAAGATCCTGATGTTTATTGATTTCCTCATTCTGATTATTATTATTATTATTTCAAAATGGGTTCATTTTGTGTTTAGCCTGAAAGAAAAAAAAAAAAAGGAAAAAAAAAAAAAGGAAAATAAATAGCAATGTATCAATAACTGGTAAGTTCTGGACAATTTGCACAATTAAGAATGTGAGCTGTTTATATAATTCTGTATCTTTGCCAGTTACATTCATTTATTCAACCTGACTGAGTGATCTTCAGGAACAGGTATGTGTAGGCTGGGAGGGAGCTGCAATAGTAATAGGCTGTCAGGGGCAATGGAGGTTTGAAACCTGAGAGCCATCCCTGTGAATAAGATGCAGTACTCTGACACTAGGGTTGGTAAGCACCAATCCGCACTGAAATATCACTGTTTTTTTCATTGATAAACAAGGTTAAATGCTTCATCACTCCAATGTATAAATAGCCCCCTAAAGTAGAGCTGCCAAGGAGAAGAATTTTTGTACTTCATCTGACAGTTGTCTTCCAGAGTTACAATGAGTAACAATAGAAAAACCTGAATCACAAGGATAAAAATGCACTACTCAGATCTGAGATTACCAACACAGAGATTTCTAAGACCATTTTCAGTATAATGTTCAAACTACAAAGGCTATTCTGTCACTTGAAGTCTTTATCTACATTTCTATGAAATGAAGAGAGAATTAAAATCATCTGTCGCATGTGCTCATCCTGCAAACTCTTTGAAGCACTTACATTAACTGTTTGAGGTTCAGAAACAGAAGGAAATTTTCAAGATAATGTAAATAGCTGCAAGGAGAAAATGCTTTTATTTCATGACTAAACAAGCAAACGAATATTTTCTGTGTTTCAAAAAGATGAGTGAATTTCTTCATGCCAGGAAAAATAAATCCATCCGATTTTGCTTTAAACTGTCCTCTTTTTCAAATGCAGTGAGGGGTTCCCACTTCCTTTGCATGACGTAATTCAACTGTTCTGCTTGAATTCTGCTGCCCGTTGATGTCATGTAGCCTCTAGTCATCTATTTAAAGCAGAAAAGCTGCTTCTAGTTAAGACCGGAGTGTGACGAGGCTGAAGTTTTTAATAAGCCTGCATCCTAGGATGCTGGTTTAGAATCTTACGGGCAGAGCTCAGCTGTTGCAGGAGCTAGAGCTTCATTGGTGGGGTCACTGCCTGCATGCAGATGTCATCCCAGGGTGGCTGGCAGCATCCAAGGAAGGCAGGTAAGTGGGGGATGGTGTAGAGTGCTCTGGGGAGTGGTGAGCTGGATGCCTGTGGGGAGGGAAGCCAGGAGCAACATTTGGCTGTTCAGTGACAAAGTTCAGCTGGAAGGCCTATAAAAACAGGGAAGCTGTATAGCTTGATGGCTGGAAGTCTCCACGCCTTTTCTAAGGTGCTTTTGACTATCTTCCTATCTGTTTCTCAGCCTTACTATCCCAAATGAGTAAGTAGCTTCTTGTAGTACTTACTTCCTCTGGTGTTCTTGGTATTCAAAAAATGGTCTTTCTATGTCACATACGGTTGAGAATAGCCGTAACCTGTGTCTACACTGCCTCATCATGGCCGGATTTCAGCTGTGGGCTGGAGTTTTTCTGGGCTATCTCTAAGCCTCTTGGGTGGCCAAAT